ATTTTGCCCTCGATGGACGTTAACCTTGATTAGATGTAAATTGTTAGCTTAAAATTATCATTAAATTTGTCATCCGGATTATTCAAAATGGCAGAGAATTTTTCTTGACTGGTGACGTTAAAAAAAAAAAAAGAAAAGAAAATAAAAAAAGAAATTGGGACTGGATCGTTACAATATTCACTTTAGTGCCCTTTTTGTAAATTTACTAGTTATTACTTGGGTTGCCTAATCTGAATCTGAAGCTCTCTTTGCAGCAGGATTTATTTCAGGTGTCACGCTTATGTCAAGAAACATCATGATACTTTGTGCGATGTATTTTGGAAGGGCCTTTTCATTTGTACTGAAAATGGATGACAATTTCTCACATGCGACGTGCCCATGCGTGATTATGAAATTCTGAAAAAAAAAAAGGTGGGGCCCTCCCATTGTGAGTATCGGTCAACCTGTATGTCAATCATTTTCGGTACGAATAACACGACTCATTTTGGTATGTGCACGGATATTGGATGGTTCTGGCACTGTTTGGTGTCTGAAGTTATTCTAACCCATCGAGTAAAAGATGCTATTTATGTACTCGTAATTGTAATCGACAACCGGTACCAACTCTCTCTACATGAACTACACCCTGAATCCACGAAGATACAAAATAAAGTGATTGAAAACAAATCATTTCGCAAACTAGAAATATTTTTCTTGGATAAAGAAATAGATTACTTGATCTATTTTCGTATCGCTCAACAAATAATTATGAAATAAGGATATACAAAACGACGAAGTAGTGAGGGGTCTGAACAACTACTTCAAACAATCATCCTCTTCTCAATCCTTAGTTCAGTTGACATCATATCAACAAGATTCACATCTTTGCAAGTAATGAATACGTTAATGCAGGGACAGATACAGACCTTAAAAGTTAGAGGGGCACAATCGAACTTGCAAAGAAGTTGGGAGAAATTTTACAATAAAAAATTTACGTTCAAAAAAATTATACCCCATGTAATTTTACATCCGAAAATTTACATGGGATAAATTTTCGGATGTGAAATTTTGAAACTTTTTGATATCATATTCCATATAAAATTTCCTAATAAAATGATGAAAATTACATTGAGAAATTTGTATCACAAAAATAATAAATGTTAATAAAATAATTGAATTTTTTTAAAAAATGCGAGTTGGACGTCTTTTTTTAAGACCCGCATTTAACGTATTTTTAACTATTTTCAATATCTGTTTGGACTATTCGATATACCCATCATGTAGCTCTCGAAATAAGCTTTGAGATGATATAAGCAATTTGTAGATTCAATTAACGTACGATCATCGGATAATTTTTAAAATTAGTATTGTATCGAAATTCAATTTTATTGTGATTTTGCCCCTGTTTGGTGAAGATTAAAATCAAAATTTTAGTAAATTTTGATAAAAGTTAAACGGTTATGGATTCCATGAAAGATGTTATTAAAATTAATTGTTAATTTAGATTTAGATTAAAATTTAGATTTCATTCGATACCAAACACGATTTTATAAAATAAAATAAAATAAATCTCAAAAGT